TTTTTTTTTCTTTATTTTTGAGTTTCAGAGTAGGGTAGACTAAAATAGTTGGGTTAGCTAGTAAGAGGGTGAGTTCTGTCCGTTGAGAGTAAGGTTAGGTTTCTATGAAGGACTTCCGGGTAGTCCCTAAAAGCCTGGCCAGGACCATTCTGGTGACTATAGCAACACGATCGGGCTTCTAGACTCATTAACACGTGTTATCGTGTGGATGCATGTGGACGATGTGTGTCTTCCCGCGCGTGTATGAGCATTACGCTCGATACGGCCCCCACCACAGTGGTTCCTGGTCGCGCGCGCGGGCGAATTAAACAGAAAAGAAAGAAAAAGCTCATTCCAATGAATTAACGTGAATTTATTTCGAAGCGACAGTAAAGGAAAGAAAAATCACTCGTGTTGAGTTTATTCGATATCAAAACGTTGAACACGATGATTTCCCCAATCGGTGACATAGAGATTACCATGTCGATCGAAGGACAAACTAAAGGGACCGTTGAACTCATTTGCTCCTTCTCCTTCACCATTTCCACCCACAACAACAGTGCCTTGTTTCGCTCCTTGAGACCAACGCATCACTCGACCATTAATTGAGTCTGCCACATAGATGGTACCCAACGTATCAACGAACAGTCCTGTAGGATACTGCAATTGTGTCAGAGAATCCCCGTAACCTTGACCTCCAGCAACGACAATTCCTTCTTTTGCATCTGTATCCCATTTCATTACACGATGATTCTCCTTATCTGACACGTAGACAGACTGTTGTTGATTAACAAAGATGTACGTCGGAAAGTTGAGTTGATTGAGACCAGCACCTTTTCCATTACCACCAGCAACAAGAGTTCCATTCTTGTCTCCTATTTTATATCGTCTTACTTCATGTTTTATCCAGTCAGAGATGTAGAGATATCTCTGATCATCCATGAACAATCCACCACAATCGATGTTGCTGATGAGAATTTCTCCTTGAATTGCGCCACTACGACGAGACCATCGTACAACTCGTCGATTCCCAAAATCACAAATAATGAGACTATCCGCCTCTTTATCGATTAACACATCAGTTGGACGCTCCAATTGATCCAATCGATTTCCTTTGCCATTTCCACCAG